TTGGTTGATGCTTTGGCACATGATAACTTTAGTTCTAATTAAGTGAGAGTGATGAAATTTGGTGTATAGTTTTATTACATCAATACCTTGACTAAGTTCGATAATAAGCATTTTCTGCTCAGGGTAAGCGGAGCGATAAGCAAGTTGATTGGTCGAGACTTTGGAACATAATAACTCTCCTTCTCATTGAGCTAGAATGTTCAAACTTGGTGTAGGTGTTTATTAGGTGAATGCCTTGATGGGGTTTGAAGATGAGAATTTTCTGCTTAGGGTAAGCAGAGATAAGCAATTTGATTGATCGACGCTTTGGGACACGATAACATTAGTTCTAATTGAGGTAGAATGTTTAAACTTGATGTAGATGTTCGTCTTGACTGAGTGCAATGATTAACATATCGAGGTAAACATAATAACTCTCCTTCTAATTGAGCTAGAATGTTCAAACTTGATGTAGGTGTTTATTAGGTGAATGCCTTGATGGGGTTTGAAGATGAGAATTTTCTGCTTAGGGTAGATAAGCAATTTGATTGATCGACGCTTTGGGACACGATAACATTAGTTCTAATTAAGTGAGAGTGAGGGCACATGGTGTATAGTTTTATCACATCAATACCTTGACTAAGTTCGATAGTGAGCATTTTCTGCTCAGGGTAAGCAGAGCGATAAACAAATTGATTGATCGAGACTTTGGAACACAATAACTCTCCTTCTAATAGAGGTATAATTTTCAAACTTGGTGTAGGCGTTCATTAGGTGACAGTCATGATGGAGTTCGATGATAAACATTGTCTGCTTACAATAAGTAGAGATAAGCAATTTGATTGGTTGATGCCAAAATTTGAGGCACGATAACTTTGGTTTTAATTAAACTCTGAGTATATATTCATATTATCATTACTTTGACTAAGTTTGATTATGAGAATTGTTTGCTTAGGCCAAGGAGCGATAAGTAATTTGATTGGTCAAGACTTTGGAACATAACAACTCTGCTTTTAACTAAGGTAGAATGTTTAAACTTGAAATAGATGTTCATTAGGTGAATGTCTTGACTGAGTTCAATGATTAACACTTCGAGCTAAAGCTAAGCAAAGGTAAGAAATTTCTTTGGTCGATGCTTTGGGAGAAGATAAATTTAATTCTATCTGATAGAGAGTGATGAAACTTAGTGTATAGTTGATAATCAGTTTGATTGCTTGATACTTTTGAAAATATACGTCCACATGAAAATGTGGGCGTATGAAAAATAAATGTGCGATTAATTAATAGGTGTCATCTATTTATTTTGGTTATTCGGCGGGGGAAATCAGCCTCACTGTTGGCTTATTACATTTAAAATATATTCATAAAGTAGTTGTAAACTTTGATCTAGCTGTGGTTTCGAAAAAAAACTCTGATATATTGCCATAAACCAAACCTTACTGGTAGTGGGTTTTTTTTTATCCCAAAGGATTTATGTTGTCTATTAGTTTGGCGTGCAAATTGCATGTCCAACTAACCTTAACCCTAACTCGTGCACGCAACAGAAGAGTAAGCAAATGTCTCCCTCGGGGCAACATTGGGTTACCTCGCATTTCACACATACCCATAAAATAAAACAATTACCATAAAAATATTATGTTTAGAAATGACTAAGACATCTTGTACCAGGCTGTGTAGATTATGGTTTATATAGTCAGTCTCTACAGTAAGGATAGCTTATATATTTTACTTTCCAGGGATAGCCCCTTAATAAAAGCATAAATAAACGGGACCACAGCTGTTTTTTGTCTTACAATAATGTTTTTTTTTCTTTTTAAATTGTATGTCTTCTCTTCGAATATGTATTGTTTTATGTTCTTGTATACTTTATTTTGTCTCCTGAATTATCTATGAAAATCCCGGTGCAGAATAGTAGGACGTTAAGCCCCCTTTCATTTCTATTATTAGCAAAAAAAAATACCGTGACACATCCCTTTTTTATAAACCGAAAATACAAAACTAAAATTCAAATACTTTTGTAGTCTTGAGTATAACTCCTAAAACGTCTTGACAGGAGGCCACAAAACTTTTTTTATACGCCCACATTTTCATGTGGACGCATTATGCCGTCGCCCCTGTTTGTCCGTCCGTCCACAATTTGTTTGTGGACACTCTACAGGTTACAATTCTTATCCGATTTCAACGAAACTTGAAATATAGGTTTACCCCCCCTCAGATCGAAGTTCCTGTCGATATTGCCATGTATCGGACAGTAAGTTCATGGATTATAGCCCCCGATTGTACGAAAAAATCGCGTTTTTAGCTTGTGGATAGTCTGGAGGTCACAATGTTGATCCGATTTTGATGAAACTTGCAAGGCATGTTTATAACCAAAAGACCTTGGTTCCTTTTGATATTTGCGCATATCGAATTTAACTTCCTGAATTATGGCCCCTGATTGTACGACAAATCATCTTTTGTTAGCTTGTGGTCCCTCAAAATTGTTATCCGATTTAAAACAAAAGGTCGAGTTCGAATTGCGTGAAAATCGGACCAAAACTGCCGGACAAAATGGCCACCTCTCGTACATAATTGGCGTAAAAATATGGTATATCAATGTTGTGGACCCTCTGGAGGTCAAAATTGTGTTCTGATTTTGATGAAACTTGAAATGTAAGTTTATAACCCAACGATCTTGGTTCCTTCCGATATTCACGCATATCGGATCTTCACTTCCTGAATTATGGCCCTTGATTGAACAAAAAAATCACAGTTTTAGCTTGTGGTCCCTGTAGAGGTCACAATTTTATCTGATTTAAAAATAATGTGTGAATATATCACCATTACACACAAGGATCTTGGATCCGTTTGATAATCGCGGATACCCTAACTTAACTTTCTGGATTATGGCTCCCGATTGTTCAAAAAATGGCATTGTTAGCTTGCAGATTCTCTAGAGGTCACAGTTGTTTTTCTGATTTTAAAAACCTTTGAAATATTTCACCATTTCACCAAGATAAAGGTTGAATTCGTATTTCGGGAAAATCGAATAAAACTGCCCAACAAAATGGCCGCTCTTTGTACGCAAATTGTGTAAAAGTATGCAATACGAAGGCCACAATTCTGATGAAACTTAAAACATATCTTTATATCCCAAGGATCCCAGTCCCATTTGCGCATGTCAGACCATAACTTTCTGGATTATTGCCCCTGATTGTACAAAAATCCCGTTTGATTTTAGCTTGTTCTCAGTCCATCTCTTGCAAAATGTGGGCGTATCCTGCCTGGCAGCCGCTGGTTTCTCAACTTACGAATTGTTGTTACCCGTCTTTTGATAACACAACTTAAATACAACGAAACACATTTCTTAAGACTTAAAGAAAATATTGTTACCACTTTTAGTTACCTAATGGGCTGAAGTAAAACTTGATTCAATATTAAGCAAAACTTGAGTTGAAAAACACATTTTACACAGGTCACCATATATTATAAGAGTTGTGACCTGTATTGTGTATTTTATGTGTTATATGTATGTATTGTATCATATTGTATCATATTTCTATACATGTGTGCACTTTTTGCAATAAAATAAATTCTCAATGAACGTGTACGAAATGCGTAGATTACTGGACAATATTTTGGTAAACTAAATCCAGAATGAGGCAAATTAAGCGTTATGCGGAATCAACGTAGCACTACTGCTGCAACATATCTTTGGTTTGATCGGATCGTTTAGGGGTTGGTTGGACTCTACCCAGTGTTGTATCTCTCTCTTCACCGTTGTGTTTTCTCACGATGCAGAAATTAAATATGTAACAGAAAAAACGATAGTTTTATACGCCCACATTTTCATGTGGACGTATATTGTCGTCGCCCCTGTCCTTCCGTCCACAATTGTTTGTGAACACTCTACAGGTCACAATGTTTATCCGATTTGGTTTAAACTTGAAATGTATGTTTATAACCCACAGGTCTCGTTCCTGTCGATATTCGCGCATATAGGCCCCTGATTGTACGCAAAATCGCGTTTTTAGCTTGTGGACCCTATATAGGTCACAATGTTTATCCAATCTAAAACTAAAAAACCATTACAAAATATCATCGTTACACCCTAAGGATGGTTGAGTTCGCATTTCGTAAAAATCTTACCGAAACTGACGGACAAAATGACCGCCCCTCGTTCGCAAATAGTGTCAAAATATTGTGTATCAGGGTTGTGGACCCCCTGGAGGTCACAATTGTCTCTGATTTTGATGAAACTGTTTATAACCTTTTCGATATTCGCGCATTTTGGACCATAACTTCCTGAATTATGGCCCCTGATTGTACGAAAAATCCAGTTTTCAGCTTGTAGAGGTCACAATTATTTTTCTGATTTTAAAAACCGTTTAAATACATCACCATTCCATCATAATGAACTTGCCCGACAAAGCGGCCGCTCGTTGTACGCAAATTGTGTAGACGTGTGTAATACGAAGCTTGTGGACCCTCTAGAGGTCACAATTTTTATCTGATTTTGATGAAACTTTAAACGTACATTTATACCCCAGGAATCTAAGTCCAATTTGATATTTGCACATTTCAGGCCATAATTGTCTGGATTATTGCCCGTGATTGTACAAAAAATCGCATTTGTTTTTGTCTTGTTCTCTATCCATCTCTTGCAAAATGTGGGCGTATCCTGCCTGGCAGCCGCTGGTTATAATCTTACATATAATGGGTCAAATTCCGTCAAGAACAGTTTCGGGAATATGGGCCCCGGGCGAACCATGCTTCGTCGCCGTGCTCCCCCCCCCCCACCATATGTGGTATCAAATTAACCGGCATGATCCCGTGAATGTTTTAAGCCATCCAATTTGAGCCCTGGGTATCCTGCCAGATGATTCACATAACAAGACTGATTTGGGGGAAAATGTCATATGTCATAGGTACATATTGTTTTTGGCTTCTTTTGCCATTTCTTTGGGGTAAAACTATATCCATTCCCGCCTAAATGAGGTTACCCTGTTCATAACATGAGCGAAAGAAAGAGAATCCAGCGATAAAAGCAAAGATAATCCTTTATTATAAACTCTATCTATACAGTCTGGTTATAAACTTGTAATTATTAGGAGCATTCAAATTGAAAGTAATTTAATAAGTAAAATACAAGATGACAAATTGTTATTAATATAAGGACGATAGCTGTGTAATAATCAATCTCTATACTATAGGGGACTGGAACGAAAAGTAGAAACAACTGGTAAGGCTATAATAAGTTTTTATCATTCAATATAAGCAAAACAAAGCAATATAAAACATCAAATATATATTTATAAATGGAAATGAAATAATAATTGAAATAATAATTATACGTTTAAAGTATGAAATAAAGAAACTATTTACGTTTGAACTATAAAATAAAGAACTATTTACGGAAGCTAGAAACTGCAACTTGTAATGAAATACTAAATATAAAACATCATATACAGTATAATATAGACATACCTAATAGTAGGAACAACTGGTAAGGCTCTAATAAGTTTATGGCTAGTAGATATGTTTCTTGGATTTATATATCCCACGTTGACAAGTTAAAACAATAGAAACTCATAAACAACCTTCCCGGGTTGCTACCTACTACATCTATACACTATACTTGAAAGTGGTTAATCCAGTTAAACATACATTATGCAAGAGCTAAATCTGCCCATTTCAGGTCTTTCTTTAGGACTGAAATGATATCTAAATTTTTAATTATATATTAATTAACTTATCCAGACCATAATCAATTCTTGATGTCATTGCTAGGCTGCAATATTTATTGGATTAGGATCCGAGTTGCTGCCCAACTTTCATTGATTATTTAATCTTGAAATGGATAATCGAGGCTATGTTGTTTTATCGTACCGACATTAGTAATGTTGATCGAGGTTAGGCCGAAAAAAATTAATCCTAAATTCTCGGTTCACAGTGGATCAATTTGACTGAAATTTTCAGCAAATTCCCTTTACATTATCTAGTTTTTAACTATTATAGTGAGAACTGCCAGCTCTTTGTCTAATCTCCCATAATGTATCTTTAATTAAACAATTCTAATTAACTGCATTGCTGATAGGATTAAGACCACATCGGTATAGATGAGTCGAACATCTGACTACATGTACGTATATACATTAATATATTGTTTTGGATGAAGAAGTTGTATTTACAAAAGGTGAAAAATATAACAGTATAATAGAACACGGACATCACCAGGTAAAGTTATGTTGCCATAGCTACCCACAACTACTATATAATATAATAACATATTGGTAACACATTTTGTTAAAGCTCCTAATATTTAAATTGCCAGTACAACCCTCAAGCCACCTCGAATCCACTTTCTTTTTTGAAAAATGAACAGGCATTCAGCTATCTTGTTTTCATGTACCAGTGGTGTTGATGTTACCCATATTATAATAACCAGTTTGGTCTCTTGTCTTTAATGTATCATAAACACCTGCAAGTCCACCTCCAATAGTTGAATCACATGTATGTTCATAATCTTGGTCAGTGGAAGTCTTGGATCGTTTGTATCTACAAATACATCAGATATACAATAAAACAGTTATTTAACAAATGCTGGATTTATCACGAAGAAAGAGAGATAGAGAGAGAGAGAGAGTGGGGGGGTGTCAATATTTGCAGCGGCGATAATTGTCTTATTTACCGCTACAATTGATACACACTACGAGCCTTTGCGCAAGTTTCAATTGCAAAATTGTTAACACATATTATCTCAGTTTGCATGGAAATAAATAATTATGTTACAAATACCGAAGAGCGGAACACTGATGTCCTAATTCTGGTTCCGCGGACATTTTCAAAACGACAGAAATATCGCGTAGCCGTTGAATGTTATTAAATTCATGAATTGATGTGGTAAGGTTTCGCCTTTTTTTCAATGTGAATTGGTGTATCAGAACGACCCACAACTGTAGCTGGAGCAAAAGGAAGCCATCAGTAGTTGCACCATTTCTAGGGGAGGGATTTTTATTGCTCTCAAGAGCGTTATCAACAAATACTACAGAAACATATTAATTTTTAGTTATTTATTTTAGATAATAAATCCAGTAGAATGTCATTTACCTGTTCCTGTATATCACTAATACAATGATAATTAAAATAGTGATCATCACAGCTGTACCCACAACTCCACCAACAATAGCTGCTACTTTATCATCTGGTGTTGATTCTGTAATATCAATAGTCATTGAACATTCGTATCGTCAATTAATAACTCAGTAAATTACATGTTTATGGGTCGCTGTCTGCCAATTATATCGCTCGATTCCATTATGTCATCATTATTCCATGCAGAACTGACAGGCATATCTCTAGATTCCGTACCTTTTGACCCCCCCCCCCCAACACGAATTATGTGCCAGGAATGAATGCAAATGCTATGATACGCAGGATGACTTTGGCATCTCATCCGCATCCGCCCCTCAAAAAAATCATGGCTACGACACTGTTGATTGTAACATGACACGGGCAGGAAGTACAATATTTAACAATGGTGTTTTACCAATGCTTCATCACTCTACCCTAAAGCATGGATCAGCTGCATTACTGCTCTCGACTTAGCCTTAGCTGAAAATGTTAATCATCGAACCTATAATCAAGATCTACACTTAATTTTACCAGCTCACCCAATTTAAATCAAAGGTATCGTTACCCACATGAAAATGTTCATCTCACACAGAGAATAGACACGGACAGACAATCTTTCGGCTGCACACCAGCTATCTATCGAAGAAAACGTATATCAGAAGTGGCAACTTGGATGTTGACCATATTATTAAAAATGAAAAGTTATTTGAAAAATGGGGAAAGCTTGAAAAGGGAGGGTCGCGAGAGGCTGACGAACAAGATAGCGTTGATCCTCTCGTAACTCCAATTTTTCAGACCAAATTGGAAAACAACTATTAAAATTTGCAGCGCTAACGAATCCAGATTATACACCAGACAACTTCTACACTTAATTTTACCACTTGGGTGTTGACCATATTTTTAAAAAAAATAAAGGTTATTTGAAAATGAAGGATAGTCGCGAGAGGCTGATTAACAAGAAAGTGTTGTTCCACTCGTAACTTTAATGCTTCAGACCGAATTGGAAAAAGAACTAATGAAAACTGTAGCCCCTATAGTGCTAACATGTTTTCAGAAAAAAGGGGTTAACTGCGGATATCGTTAGGGTTGCTCCTCGCACGGAGGTACCATATTAAACAAAGTTTAAATTAACTGTAATAACTGTAAAATGGACAATACACTCTGCGAATGTGGAATTACGCCCAATTGTCAGCTATATCCCCCATAGACAGCAGCTTATCCGAAAGGAAAACCTTGATCTTGGTCAGTAGGGAAATCTTGTGATTGGAAATTCACGAAACATTTAGGAAAATTCCGGAAAAGATAGTCATGGAATTCAGAAGATGATTGACATTCTATGTCGTCGCACGACCCTTATGCTTCACATCGCACATTTTAAATTCTTTAAAAACCACAGCCTCTATCGTGTTAACAATTCTTTCGGTAAAGGGGTTGTAACTCTGGAATAGGACGTGGCAGAATACTGAAAATCGACAGGGTTTGTTCTCGTGTGACGCCAATAGTTTACACCCGTTAATGCCAAGAATCCATTGGGTAAAAATCATCGGCGATGTGGAAATAAACAAATTTTCTCCCGATGGCTTCCGATATTTTCGTCCCCACAAACGGAAATTATCGCCGATTAGGAATCGGGGATGATCCGGTGAAAGTTCACAAAACATCTAGTAATGCCCCGCGAACAATTGCCACGAATGCTCGGGAAAGCTTCGGCGTACCTTCGCTTATATCATCATCATCGGGTGAATAGGGAATCTATCGGTGAGTACCTGCGAACGAACCATCCTAGGTGTCTCTGGGAAGGGTTATTGGGGGCTGGGCGCACATTATCTGCACATCTCAATCCCTTGCGTGGTGTCATGTCGGTGGCACTTATGCATCGTTCCCACAGGGCATTTTGTTCCTGGGCGATGTACTAACGATAGAAATGATGAGCTCCGGGAGATGATTCTGGAGTTAAACGTTGCTAACACATCGGGACAAATTTTAATGCAAGATTGACATTTTTCGCAGTTCTCTCAAGGCATCCAGATTGCCCCCGATAGTTCCACGTGGCTCTCGACGCTTCCCGAGACTCATCAATTCCAATCGACAGAACATCGCCAGGGCATAAAAATGCCCAGTGGGAGCTAGACCTTAAAACTGTTGTTCCTATTACCTTTAAAAGTTTTTCGAAAAAGGGGACGTAACTCCTCAATCTGAGTTAGGGTTAGATCCTTGTTTTCGTTTCTGACGCATTATCATCGTGAAACACAACATGCGCATCTGATTTGCTTTTCTCGAGTTCCCATGAATATCATCCTCCCGTTCCACTTCCCACAAATAATTATCTGTGAATTTCGCAAAGTTAAAAGAAAATCGCCATAGCCCAAGTGAAACCTGCCATGTATAAGACCGCAGTTTGTGTGGGATCCCATATTAGAGAGGGGTACCACATGAAATCTATTTTATATGCACACATATAGGTATATATCCAACATAGATCACGGTGTTCTGGGAATCTATTAACACGTTTAACAATATCGGCTAAATACACATGAAATCTATTTTATATGCACACATATAGGTATATATCCAACATAAATCACGGTGTTCTGGGAATCTATTAATACGTTTAACACTATCGGCTAAATACACATGAGCGTTAGATTTCTTCTCGAACTTCTTCAATGTAAATGTGTTGTGAATTTCAAATAATTTGGGTAGATACGTTACAGGGTGGTACTTGATTAGATTTATTTCAGACGATTTAAAGAAATAAAATCAAAATTAATTTAAGAAGCTCGACTTTTACATATTATGGTCATAAACTGACCGCAAACCTGAATTTATGCATCCAACTCAATATTATCATTAACCTTTGATATTCCAAACTCAAATTAGAATTTTCACCAATATTGATGTTGTCAATGTGGAAAGGAAATGCCAAACCGTATACGGATGTAAACTCTCCTGACGTGGACAGAAGTTGACATAACTCCTCTTGTATTTATGTAACTTCGATTTTCCGACCCGAAAATAAATCTCTTTAACAGCAGTATTACATAATAGAGTGTATTACAAATAATCATAAAATTTCAACATACTCGTGAGTTGCCACTGTCCGTTGGTACATTGATAGTCTTCATTATATATATACTTTTCACCAGTTTTATAACAGTGTTGTTCCGTATAACAATAATCTTCCTATAATAGAAGTCGAAATTAATAGTTGTCGTCAAGGTTTAAATTGGGGTTTCCCTAATCTTAATAGCTTATTCATGTCCGACCTCCGGTTTAAAATTATTCAGAACCATGGCTGCCTGTATTGTTTAACAGATTGAATGACCGCGTCCAAACTGGCTACACTTTCAGATAAATCCTGGGTTTCACAACCAGAGAACAGATTACCACCGCCTTCTACTGACCTTGACCTTCTTGAGTGATCGCGTATTTCATTAATTCCCAGCCTATTCCGCACTTTTTTTCGTATGCAAATTCGATTATGGCAGTTTCCATATAAGGTATATGTTCTATTATGCAAAAATCCCAAATATATTTGCATATAATGCAAACTGAAGAGTGGAGGCGTGTAATGGCAAAATAACTAACACATGACTCTCTTGAATTGTATTTTGTATTATTGAAAGGTGTATTCCGTACTTTTAATACTGCGACACTGGTATTGTGGAGCGATGGAAATTGCAAATGGTAAACATCAACGAAGTACTTTGAACTGCTGACATATGTAACATTGAAATAATAATGGCAACGTTAGTGGGGGGAATAAAGACATGAATACTTACAAACATCCTACATGTCACAGTCTCGCCATCAATTGTACAGTTCATGCAATCAGAATTCATGATAACCACTGTTAACTGTCGACTGAAGAGTTGTCCATCATTGGACACAGCTACCCTGTAGCTTGGTACTGTTGTGTCTACAACGGGAACAGTTGTTGATCGTTTTTGTCTATTAACAGGTAGTGGACACGTCACTTCACCAATACTTTCGACAACTGGATCATTTGTTATCTTTGCTTCTGCATTTGACTATATTAAATACAAATCAGTTATAAATATCTGCTTCTAGAAATCAACCATTTATTTGCTGGTGAGTACACCAAGGGATGGTCGCAACCGGATGTTTACAACTCGATATTGTTAGCGATGATTGTGTTTACTTTTTATGGGCGTTGTCCTGTTAAATACACATTACTGGTTTAAGTTTTGATTATAGATAATAAAAATAAGATGTGGTCACAACCGGAAGTTCAAAATATCATTGTGATGACTGCGTTTACTTTTACTTTGCGTTCTCATGTAAAATCAACACTATTGGTTAGCTTTTAATTACGGATAATAACTTGTTAATACATTATTTTTTTGATTTACTAAAATAAATTGTATCTTTATATTAAAATAAAATTAAATTAACCTAAATACATTTTACAAATTTGATATGACAAATTTCTGATCTGTAAAACAAATATTGATTTTAGATACAAATGTTAATTTTAGTGCACAAATGTCAAAATACGACAACCAAGGAAAAATAAGAATTAAGGACTATGAATTAAGAACTGAAAATTAAGAACACCGAATATGGGCGTCGCTCAACCCCTGGGGGTCGGGCATTCACCAAAAACAATAGGGATCATCCTTAGGGTATAATGAATAGGTATTCAAAGTTTCAATAGGATCTGTTAAGAATTGTGGGCTATAGCCGACACAACGACACACACAAAATTGGGCGTCGCTCTGTCCCAGGGGATCGGGCATGCACCAAATCAATAGAGGTCATCCTTAGGGTATCAGAAATAAGTATAAAAGTTTTAAAGACGATCAAAGAACGATTTCGGTCTGTCGGCGAGTCACAGACACACACAAGGAAAATGGGCGTATCTCTCCCCTGGGGTTGGTCCTGCATCCAAAACAATAGGGATGATCCTTAGCGTAAAAGGAATAAGTATGCAAAGTTTCAAGATGACCCATTAAGAATTGAGGCCTACAGGTGACCTACAACCAAATACAAAAAATATGTGCATGGCTCTGCCCCTAGGGCCTGACAAGGACAGCTGTCTAGTCATTCGGATTTGACGAAAAATCGAGGTCCCGTGTACACATTGGCGTGCACGTAAAAGATTCCTTGACAGATGGAATTGGATATAAGAGTAGTGCCGAAGTCCGGACAAAATTTCCCTCATAGCACACTGTATGGCGTATGCCCGTCTTCATTAGCCCAGTTCGGAGCAAAACAGTAGGACGTTAAACCCCATTTCATTTCATTTCATTTCCCTTGGGGTCGGGCATGCACCAAAACGATAGGGATCATCCATAAGTATGCACAGTTGCAAGACAATCCATAATGAATTGCGCCCTGTAGGCGACCCCCCCCCCCCCCAAACACACCCACCCACACATAAACAGGGGCGACGGCATAATACGTCCACGCTATGAATGTGGACGTAGAAAAATTATATTATAATTTTACTGTATATAATATTTAAAAATAGTGGCATAAATCCACCAAAGCGATAATGTTTCAAACATTATTATTTTATAGCAGACTTTAACGGAAAAATGTGTTTCAAGTGTGTAATAATCATGTTTAGACAAATAATATTGCATTTGGCAATAAAATCGTGAATCAAGAATGATCAAATATGACCCGTTTAGTTCTCCATATTTAATGTCAGTTCTCGTTGAAAATTATTAGGATTCTTTTTCCGATATAATTAGAAAATCAGGGTATCTAAAGAAAAATGCACAATTAAAAAAAAAACAACTTGGCGTTATAATTTTACTGCATATACAACTTGACGTCAGAAATTGCTAAACATCTATGGGCTTCGTTTTTATCTTATTACAATTATAACCTCCAACAGTTTTCACGAATTGTTGACGGCGACACACGACTTGACCTTCAATGTTTCGGTAATATGATCAATGCCGTATGGCTAGCTAAGCAAATCCTGGAAAAACTCATACTGTTTCTTAAGATTCGGTTATACGGACAATAAGTCCGTGAAACGAACTTCGCTATAACTAGCCCAGCGAATCGAAAAGAACTATCTGAAAGATAACCTGTAACCGCGTTAATGAACTGTGGATAGACGGACATGGATGACGACACCACACTTCCGAATTATATAAATTCTTATATTAATGCGATGGATAGATCTCCGAACCTCGAGCGGCATCAGTCGGCATTTGAATTTGTCTGATTCTACAAAAGGTCCACCAAATACTGCAATCTCTTCACAACTGCCATCTTTGCGATCACAATACCCGCTCGCTTCTAGACTATCGACCAGAGGTGGTTGACTTAGATCAACAGAACAATCTGGTCCCGAATAACCATCATTACAATCACAGATACCTGTTGATTACATAATGTGTTTATACAGACTAATGATAAAACATGTTTAACAGACAATGTGTCAGAATAAGAGTTACATATAGAATTTAAATGAATGAATATTACGTTCAACAACTGTTAAAATCGATCAATTTGATGTTAGTTTCTAGAAATGTCATGCAAGAATATTTATGCCTTTAAAACATTTAGGGGCGAGACGCGAGTCAACTAGCGAGGTCAACTAGCGAATTATTGAAATAAAATTGAGCCATATGTTAGTCCGGATGTTAGTTTGTGTTGAATGGACGTTAAACTCTCGCTAACTCTCTCTCTATATATCTCTCTCTCTTAAGTAATAGCAATTGTATCCAGTCTTCTGTAAAAACATATAATTATGTCATCCATAATGCTATGTGCCCCACCCTCCCGTAATGACCGATTCCCAGTCATAATGTTACACAATAATTCTGAAATAACAATCACAAAGCAATATTCCAATAGTAATAGCATTAATGTGTTTTCAGACCGGTTTGTGTATATTCAAGAATTCATATCACTAGTTTTGAATGTTTCAAATCTCATAAGCTTTGGTGATAATATAGGGATTGGTCGGGGTTGCACGCTGTAACATTTGACATAATTCCTGAAAGTTTAAATCATACATAGCTACAGCAGCCCTGTAAGATAATTCAATCAACTGAATACACGTTCTTACCATTAACACAGACACCTCTATCTGAACACTCTGCAGGACAAGCAACAGCTTTCACCATTTCTAACACTGACGGTTTGTCTGGACTAGTTTCCTGCCGAAGAGTAACATTCATTCTAGCCTCACGTAAACACTGACTTCTTACAGAGTTTACAGCAGCCAAAGAAAAATTTGAAGTTCCACTTAGCTTAAATTGAAAATAAAACAAGAATATGAATAAGAAAAGCAGTGATAAACGACAGGCCGTGGAATCATGTTAGCCTGTTTCGTCCATTCCAAATGCAGTGCTTTGTTTTGGTAATGTGGCATTACCAACGAATTGTTATCTTATGCCCCTCTTTCATGCGGGCTTCGAATGCAACGAGTAGCCCCGAATCCAACCCTTTTCCGATTCGTAGGTAAATCGTAGAAGGCTCGTGAAATTCGTAAGTGATTTTTGAAACAAAACCTTTCGTGGCTAGATTTCATATGGGCTACGAATACAACGAATCGACTCCAATCCAAACTTTTTCTTATTCGTAGATAAATCGTAGACAGTTGCTGAAGTTCATGGGTGGTTCTTATTTAGTTCTTACACATTCTTATAGTTCGTAGCAGTTCGTGGTTCATTGTGCTTGATAACGATAAGAGGATACTTGTCGAAACGTTGTGCTTTTAGAATAAAACCAGTGATTGTTTCCCATAAAAATTGTGTTCTGTTATTGTGTTCCCCAATCACTAAATGCCACTTAAAGATTATTATCGACCACGAAAGTTTTTGTTTGTCAACATATTTCGTGGACGGTCTATGAATTACGGAATTCGTAGATGTATCGTAAACCCATAGCAGCCCTTTCTTATCGTCCGTAACACCTTCATATTCGATTCATTGACGAATAATGCAAACATCGTCAACTTTTCGTTGCTTCATCGTCATCATTTGTGAGAGCGTCGTGTATTCGTAACTGAATTCGACATTTTCGTAAGCACTTTTCGTAATTAAATGGCTTTAATTCTTATAGACGATTCTTTCACGCCGTAAAACCCTACCTTGAAATTCAGCATATTTTTCACCTGATTACCCACAAAGCATGTAACTCTTTCGTAAACTATTCGTAACTGCTTGGTAGATACTCCAGATTTTCAACAACCTTTTAGATTTTTTTGCCGAATCGCAACGAACCAGGATTCTCAGAAAGGGGTGGGGGGGTGTGCTGTCCGGGAGTGCGAAGCCCGGCTCTCGGTGGACGGACTGACGGGCAATCAACCAAGTCACCAATCGACTCGTTTCGGAGTAAATTTCGACGGGGATCACTACCATTTTTAAGTATATTTGATCTCCTTTCCCGCGAGAATATATGGGGCAAAAAATTGTTCGCCAACGCAAAAAATAGGTGGGTGGGGGCGCACGGATGGTGAAAGTCGGGCATATGAGTTTACCTGGCTTTTGATCTATTTCATTAGTAATATCATGTTACTGTACTATTAAATCCTTACATATTACATAATACCTATAGAGTTGTACCAAATAAGAACCATATATAGATCAAATTCTTGGGACGTTTTTTCTTCTTCAAATCAAGAATTCCACTCTTTGACTGATGTATCAATATGATAATATATTTAAAGAAACAACTAATTTTGAGATCAAGCCGATGCACGCATAGTAACAACCACATCGAGGAATTTGAACAAATTGTAGTATGGTTGAAATTTGAGCTCCTGAAATTATTTAGATATCAGGATAATGAATAACAGGCAAAGTTTTAGACTTATTCCTATCTACGTTCAGGTATACACATAAATGCATAATTAAAACTGAATAATGAATAGATTGATCCCTGTCAATGCTTAGTTACTCATTTGTAATAATGTGTTAATTTATGGAATAATTATATAAATTACCTCCAAAAGTGTATAACCTATGGAATATAGCAAAACTGAACGAAAAACGAATCTTTAATTATCCTATACACGACTTTGTTGGGGTAATTTAAACAATTGTCCTACATACGACTTTGTTGGGGTTATTTAAACAATTTTGAAGCTGCACAACAAAGGGGCACTATACTATGCATTAAATGATGGAGTAGACTATGGATCTGTCATCATGAATTTTAATTAATAAAAGATACATTATGGAAAATTAGATTAAGAGCTGACAGTTCTCACAATAAAAGATGATATAACGGGAATATTCTGAAAATTCCAGTAAAATTACTTTACTCTAAGCCGAGAAATATTTATTTTAAAAACCCTGTCGCCTCGATTGTCATTGTTGTCGCTGTGGCGAAAATAAAAAAGTCTCGGTTATCCATTTTCGCTATAATCTTCAATAGATTTTGAACGGTGGGTTGGATTCAAATCTAATGAAAATAGGAAGCATCAGGTGGTATCGAGTGTTGATGATGGTCCTGCCATGTTAATTAATGTCTAATTAATAGTTTATATAACATTTCAGGCCTAAAGAAAGACCTGCAATAGGCTGATTCAGCTCTTGCATAATGTATGTTTACGTTCCTGCTTACCTGAATATCACTCACACAACTTGTCATTGGAGATGAAACATCAACGCCAGGTACCTCTTTACACAGATTAACCAAATTTGAAGATTTAAAGAGATTCTCACAATATTCCACAGCAGACTCATTGGTCCACCCATTCTTCCAACTGACATCCTATAGAAAATGAAATGAAATGTTGTTTAACGTCCTGCTTCTACTGAGCTAATGGAGACTTTTATACGCCATGCAGTGTGCTATAGGGGGAATTTTGCCAGGACAGCTGCGGTACGATCTACTCGTATTTCGAATTCCAACTGACAAGGGTTCTTTTATGTGCAAACCAATGTGTACACGGGACCTCGGTTTTTCGTCTCATCCGAATGACTGACTATACGTTGTTCGTTGCCAAGCCCTCCGTCCTTCATCACCAACATGGGTGTGGGGGCACGCCGGAAGATCCCGATGAACTATCTCGATCGACGCAGGGAACGAACGCGGGACCTCCAGGTTAGAGGGATAGCGTCTTATTCACTGAGCCACCATGAGCGATTAAGAGATATACATGATTTTAGACTTAGATCTACTTCAATGTTCTTAAATCAATTAAAGAATAACACACAAAATTTGAAACTTCGCACGGAGACTCTGAATTAATGTTTACAAATTGTATGAAGTCGGATATACTCACCGGGTGCAGTAGGAATTTATGTTTTTTTCAGATACGACTTATCTGCGATATCACACTCTGTGGAAGCGGACGTTAAACAAATATAGAAGAAGAATAAAAAACACACTTTATAAGAAAACAATTTATGTGTACTTTACCCTTTTAATTCGTCTATGATTCTCGGGGTGGAATCTTATTGTGGGTATCGATCTCTTCTTGCGGACTGGTGAAATACAGCGTTTCTTGTGAACTTGTCTAAAGTCTTCATCCTCATTACAAATTTTTGGTTCGTTGTATAGTTTACAATCGATTTCATTTGTGACGCCCTCAGTACGAACCGAATTGCATTTACATGTGGTATACTCACGAGACCAAGCATTGAGCATACCCAAGTTGTCTTCATTAAACATATCTTCATCATCAGGAGTCCTAAAAATATTCAAATGAATATTAACACAGAGATCATTGCTACGATAGATGCGTAATGTGGGTTTCAACAATCGGAAGTGACGAACGCAAAAGGAAAACACGAGTTATCTCTCTATATAAGTGACGAGTGATAACAGATAAATGGGCGAATTTCTGCTCACTAATAATTCTTTCGAAGACCAAAAGTTGTTGTGTGAGACTGTGAGAGGATATCTGACAATTCATAAAAAGAATTGACTGTCACTGGATAAGTGAACACGAAAGAAAAATAGAAACATTTCGTGTATTACCATGTTTTTATTAAGTATAGAATGAATAAAAACAAGGGAATATACGAACTATTTCTATTTTTCTCGTGTTGTCTTACCTAATGACATTCAAATTACTTTTTTTCAATTGTCAGATATCCTCTTACAGTCTCATATAACAACTTTTGGTCTTCGAAAGAATTATAAGTGAGCATCGCATAGAATATTTATACGTTCTCCTCCGAAGGACTTTGATAATTATGTTATTATGCTATTAATATTGTGTATTGCATATCTTCAACTCTGTCACTTATTTATTATTCAGTACATGTGGTATTAATATTGTGTATTCTTTATCATCAACTTCTTTACTTACTAGGGGGGGTGGATGGCTGAATGGTTAGCACCATAAAGTCTGCCATTGAGTCAACTGGTGTGGTTTCGATATCCGGGTTGTACGTGACAAGGAGCAGGGTCGCCTGTCCAACCTCGTGGTTTTTTTCCGGGTCCCCCGGTTTCCTCCCACTGCTAAAGACCCCAAACGCGCAAGCGAATTATTGAAATATAATTAAACCATATGTTAGTCCCGAAATGACCTAGTTTGTGTCGAGTGGACGTTAAACCCCATTTCCCTCTCTCTCTCACTCTCTCTCTTTCTCTCTCTCACTTACTAAAAACGTTTCCCGGTTATATAGAAGAAATCATTAAAGGTTTGTGGGTAAAAACAACGCAATTGGGTGATAATAGTTTTACTTACTTCCATGAATTCAAGAAAGATTCTTCGTCAGTGGTTGTATTTCCACTCCTTAATACTAATTCATTTTGTTGTGTGTAATCCAACCCAGATAAATCACCACACAGCCCTCTACTAACACCGGCATCTATCACGGACGGATACGTATATATATTCAGGTATGGATCAGTGTTTGCAAGCTGAGTATTTATTTCAAGTTGTGTCCCTGTTGGTAACATAATCTGAAAATCCATAAACATCAATAATCATATATAACACAAATATAGAAACCAGCCGTTTGAGGTGTTTTCTTCAGATATCATCATTTCGCTATAAAAATAAAACGATACCAAAGCTTAGGTGATTTTAAAGTATTGCATCGGATTGATATACGATGTTTATGCTATTAAAGCGAAAGTATGTCTATAATTTCAGTCTTTGACAGTAGACTGTAGACTTTTGTAACGACAAACGCGGCAATCGCGGGACAGTACATAAACATACACATAATATATATTATTACCTTGTAAATACCACGTAATTTTTTAACGTCGAGAATATCACCACCATCATTACACAGGATATAATCAATAAACCAATAATCAATCGAGCAATGATTCATCATAAAAACTGTCTGTCCAACTCGAACGACTATACCACAAACACAGTAGGCATGATAAATGCTAGAACACCTGAAGCTTTTTACTTGAACCTGAAAAGGTAAAATAATACCGAAGATATGATATGAAACGGGATTAACGTTCCACTTTTCTGGGTTAAAGAAGACGGGCACACTCCATAATTATGGCTATGAGGGAAATATGCCCTGACAGCGGCGATGCCACGAACTCTTATTTCCAATCCCTATAGTCAAGGATTATTTTAAGTGCATACTAACCTCGGTTTTTCGCACCATTCAACAATGCTATCGAGCTAGTGCCCTGCAACACATTTACTTGCAAGAAGTGTTAGTTATTCAATAAAATATGGGAGTCGCCTATGACGATATTTTCGGCAATATCCTCGCTACTTCTGACCATACAGGGTTGACTGGTTTGTTGGCGTGCACGATGTAGTCCTCTCTCGCAATTACCTGAGTTGCCGAATCGAGCATAACGTGCTGGCTCGTTATTCGGGATTCAAGAATGGCAAATAACGTTATTCTCGATTCGGCAATAAAACAACACGTGCTCGTTATTCGAGATTCGCCAATAAGCCAAGAAGAGGATTGCCTCGTTCCAGCCGACCAGTCTACGGACTGTTCGCTAAACCAAGGGCCGTCTACGTGCTATAGCTCGGGATTCGCCCATAATAGAAGATCCTTGGCACTGGTTCCCTTTGACAATCACGTATAAAAAGCGTAAGCAGACGAGAGGACTACCCTGTGTACGTCAACCAAACGGCCATCTCCTAGCCCCCGGACTGTATCCCTATAACACTATGACGTTCTTGTGATTGTGAACTCTGTTTTGTGAATGATGATTAACGAACCAGAACGCTATTCGGCATTCCCACATAAACCCGCAGCACCTCTCTACGCTACAAGCCGACAAAGCGGGCCAGCCATTTTTTCGAATACGCTGAGCTCACCTTTACTCTAAGAGTGCGCGACAAGAATCCGACTTAACTTGCTTTGTAGGCGCGTTAAATACAGTCGCTGGTCACAATCCGCCAGTTTCCACGCAATCGCCGACTGCTGAGCTATGCGAACGTGGGGTAGAAATTTGTCAAGCAAGCAGGGTGTTAACTGGTTTATGTAAGCACATCCCTGAAACACATGAAAACCCTAAAAAAAATAAATATGTGAAATGGGTGCATTTGGAGGATATAAGATAAATGCTAAACAATCGGTGTTTATGATATAGGATATACAACCAGATACGCCCATAATCGAACTCACCATATTAATAGGAAGTAAGATAAAAAATACCTAGGGTGTGGTCAAACTCATGACTTTGTAGACCACTACAAGCCTTTACAAAAAACAACATATAATATTCTATATAACGGTATGGCTTGGACCCGTCATGAGAATTAACAATAAATATAGTTTACCTCTATATTATAGTCATTATTCTGATACATGGTAAATGTTCCAAGAATCTGGAGACTCATCTCTCTGAAATGTAAAAATATGACGGGTGCATAAAGGGATATCAACTACCCAACCCTTCAAAAGTCTATACATGAGATATCCTAATGTGCACATTGGAAACTTGATTTCACCATGTACTACAGTATCGAAACAGGGTTTCTATGACAACAGCAAGAACTTTCCAATAATTGACTATTAATTTCGATACGCTTCATCCTTATCACGCGATGGGGGTTCGGTGGCCGAACGGTTAATGCGCGCCCTTTTGATCACAAGGTATGTGGCGTGGTCTCTCTTATCACGAGACAAACTATCCCTAAATAATCTCTATAACCCTCAGCTAATTTATAAAATATCAGTCCATAATAAGCCTACCCTCAATATATCCATCCCTCAAGGTAAGTTCTAAAAAGCCAAACGATGAAGACCCTGTGCTGGGCTTTAAAGGTAATAATGTGAACGAAAAAAAGCCAACGAGTTTAGACAGACGACCCTACGCTTTGCCACGTATAAGCGGGGATTCGAAACCACGCCACACAACCACGCGTTAACCATTCGCCTCCACCCCCTCAACAACTAAAGAAGGAGATGAACAGATAAAGCATCTATGTATCAAATCATTATATAAAAAGTTACCTTCTCGCAAAAGTTTCAACATATGGATCGGAATGTACACTACAACTTCGTGATTCTATAGCTCCAGTATCTTTTATTACATACACCTAAAAATGCCAACAAAAATTAATCCATAGTATCAAATAAGGACTTTGACAACGGGAGATGAATGTCTACCAGTACATTGTTGACACGACGTTTGTAAATGATGTTAAATACATCATAGATACACGATCCAATCACGCTGTGATCGATAATTTAATGTTCTGGTCAGCCGATCGAGGGCTAGGAATCTGTGCAAATGCATTGAAGCACTCTTATCATCTCCCAAGTATAATTTATAAACAAATCTTCTAAACTCGTACTGAGAGAACGGACTGATGTCAGGGGTAGTAACGCCGCGATAAATTATCAACAATATCAATTTTAATAGACTCAAATAGATTATCGATTTTTTTTTAAAAAAAGAGAAGAAATAAATGATTTTCAAAATGTTTCGAATTCGATGTTGGTGGCAGTCTGGTTATAACATATCAATCGCATGACTTGTGGGAGTTTGGTTGAAGAGAACCAAAATGTACGTTTACGGAAAAAAACTGTTCAGAAGCAAGAAGTGGACGAGATTTTTTTAAATATCACGAACCTTCAAATAAACATGCTTCCTTTTCATTGACTTGCCTAAATCTGCAGAAGGCGCGGTGGCTCAGTGAGTAAGGTTTTGGAGGTCCCGTCTCCGACCTCGGTATTGAACGATGAAGTTAATCGGGATTTTTCGACGTGGTTTTCCCGTGTCAGTGGTGCAGAACGGACAGCTGTCCAGTCCTTCGGATGAGAAGAAAAACCGAGGTCCCGTGTATACATTGCAATGCACGTAAAAGATCCCTTGGCAGTTGGAATTAGATAGAAGAGTAGGCGATAGTGCCGCTGTTCGGGCAAAATTTCCCTCATAGCACACTGTATGGCGTATGCCCCTTTATTAGCCCAGTATAGGACCAGAACAGGACACACCCCATTTCATTTCCTTTGTCCTTGACGTAGGAGGGAGAGTCTGGCAAGGGCATAACCTCCCTCATAGCACACTTGTTAAGCCCAATTACATTTCCTATATTTGGCTGAATGATTTAGCACTATTATAGACTTAGACTACACCCTAATCCCATTTTTACTGGACCATACAAGGACTTACCGTAACCGGAGCTAAAGTATAATTTCCCCATATAGTTTGGTCATCGTAATGATCTGGAGAACGAAGTGTGATTTTCTTGACATTTGTCTGATGCCCATATCCATCTTCAGTAATTGTACCAGTAACTTTGATACTGTAAATCTGTTTCCATTTATCAGGATAAATATTCACCCCACAAGCCGTATCTGCACGAACTGTTGGAGAGCAAGTATCTTCCCCTGTTGGTATATTGGCCGTGACACCATATATGCATGGTGCATCGGGACATCCAATCCTTGCTGTAGCTCTAATCTTGATCTCGCCAGATTTACCCTCTGTAACGGTAACCGTGGGCGTCAAAACCTGTAAAGTATATTTTGTATAAGTTTGTAACATCAATGGCCCCGGATGCTGAAGAATATCCACCAACGAGTGGTAGCGCAGGTAATTCAGTCGAAATGATATAGCTATATGAGGCCCCCATATTTACCGGACAGAGTAGAAAAGGGGCGATCATACGCTTTGAATGAACAGTTAATAGGTATTCAACAAGATAACAAGTCGTCTTTAAGTTTTGCCTATATCAATAAAGAAATCATTAAAGTAACGATGCAGGTAATTTATATAAACCCATTGGAGGGGTAGCTTTGCCAAAACGTCACTAGGATATCACCTTCGGTTCACATTCCTATGGACATTTTTGTGCACCTGAATTCAGAATATTAGAGATATACTTTAATGCCAAATACTCATTTTAGCTTATCAACCACTAATAATTAGTATCACCAAATCTTTGTATCATTAATGTAGTGGTTTACTTTATGTCGATCTTCTGTCAACGAGAATCTGAAGCAATGTGAATTCCGGAGACCGGCCTCCAAAATCGGATTGGTTTGACTCGGATGAAAAGCGGTACGTCACATTACAATTTATTAAATTCAAATTGAAATCCGCCACATTGAATGCACATTGAAGATCATTTACATGCAAGATGGATGCGCTCCTCATTCGTATTCGTGATCTTCTGTTGCTATATGTTTAATTCATTCAGGCGAGCAAGGCTACATCAGCCACGCCAGGTCTTGCATCTTTGGCATCTTGCCATTGAGCGTCAGGCACGATTTCGTCCGCGCCAGAATCAAAGAGAGAGAGAGAGAGAGAGAGAGAGAGAGAGAAATGGGATTTAACGTTCACTCGACACAAACTAGGTCATTTCGGGACTAACATATGGTTTAATTTTATTTCAATAATTCGCTAGCGCGTAGGGGTCTTTAGCAGTGGGAGGAAACCGGAGGACCCGGAGAAAACCCACGAGGTTGGACAAGCGACCCTTCTCCTGGTCACGTACAACCGGGGATTCGACACCACGCCACTCAATGACAGGCCTTGTGATACAGCAGGCACGTGCTAACCATTCGGCCATCCACCCCCCCCCTCCCCCTGCCAGAATCAAAGGGGAATGAGGATTATTACTCTTCTGGTTGCGTTTGCTATATGCATCAACAAGTATGTACATACAATTCACTAACGAAGCCACATTTGATAATTAAAATCCTTTCAGCACTAAACATGCACAATGCAAAGGAATAATTTTGTTGTCATTTTCATCAAACTACATACTAGAGACTAGACTTTATGGCGTATACCCGTCTTTATTATCCCAGTCGGAGGAGAAAAGCAGGTACTTAACTTTCACAGGCACTATTTCGCGCGTATAGTTTAATGAAATCGTCGCGTGAGTTAATATTTCATCTAGGATAAAATAATTTACAATTGGCACTGTGCCCTTATCCTTACTTAAAATAATGGCACGCCAGCAGTAAAGGATAACGTAATATCTGCACGTTAGAGAAATATTAACAAACAAATAGATGTTAAGACACGTTGTTCCTACTGTGATAGACAATTGGTCGACATATACATAAAAATATCAGGAATGAACTAACCTCTATACCAATAAATATTGGTCTACTTTTAGATGGAAACCCTGATGATTCGTTGACACCTTTACCGGCTCTAATTACACAATATATCTTAGAGAAAAAATCATAGCAAATTGTAATACAAGGTGCAAGAAAAATATCTTATGGGGATCGGTAACATGTGCTTTAAAGAAACGCCGCAGGAGCCCACGAAGCCATGTTAACTTAACAGAACATACATATAATGATTTGCCAGTTCTGTGGTGGGGTGGGACATCAAATAAAATTGATTTTAGCGTTGATGGGTTGTCTATAAATTTAGTATGACCAAATAATGGTTTTATTTAAGAGCAAATTGTTTATTTAAAGAATAGATTTTGTGCCAATTACTGTAATTATAATGCTACGTGTCATTCTAATTGGACTGTATTTTACTTATTTCGTAGCTGTAAATATATTATAATACAATCTTACATCAAAGCCAACCGTAGTTACACCTTGTCCCCGTAGTTTAGCTTCTGTTAGTACTCGTTCGTCGCCCGTATCATTATAAGCAGCTAAATGTGAACTGTATATAAGACGGTTGTTCACGTACCTGTATAAAAAAAACACATGAATTTCTGATCAGTTTGTTTAAATACACGCATTAGTTGGGGTATAAAACCGATATATTACACAATTTCTCAGAGATTAAGGTTTGGCGATGGTTTCTGATAGAAGGGACCCATGTGAAGATATTTGTAGTTTTCATAGGTAGCAAACTACATATATCTTCAATAGGGTCCCTTCTATCTGTAACCATCGTCAAACTTTATTCTATGAATTTTACCCTTCATATATCACAATACATTGTAATGCACTACATACTAAAATGTATTCCGCCGTTGGCTTCGGGACTCGCAGCAAAAATGTCGGACTTGCGCACTCAAATTGAGAAATATTGTTATTTTGTGAGGTATGGAATGAGAGTTTATATACACATTGAGACATTCGACATCTAGTGCGTATCATTTAGACAAACACTTCCCAGTCTCCACTTTTGAGCAATGCCCTGGAGGTGATGATGTATTCTGGAGTATGTAATGCAGCATAATGTAGAATTGATAGTAAGGTATTTTGATATTTATGCCTTATAGTGGTATGACACAGAGGTATTATTATTTATTATTATTATTACAGCATATTTATAGTGCGCCCTTTCATATAACATGTTCAGGAGCACTTTACAAAGTGACAATGTAAGCATAAATAAACAACAAGATTATGGACATGTTAACAATTGTATACAGAGTCAGTAAAAAGCCTGATTAAATAAATGTGTTTTAAGTTGTTTTTAAAAGAATATAGAAATGTACAACATCTTAAACTAAATGGTAGATTATTCCATAAAACAGGTGCTTGATAACTAAAAGAGCGCTGACCATAAGAGACTAATTGAACAGTTTTGAGCTGTAAAAGTAGGTTATCTGATGTACGTAATGTTCGGCCAGGTATATAAAGTTCTAAAAGATCCGAGAGATAAACAGGAGCTAAATTATTTAAACAGGAGCTAAATTATTTAAACATTTAAAAGTTAGTAATAAAATCTTAAAATCAATTCGATTTTTAACAGGTAACCAGTGTAAATTATATAAAACAGGAGTTATGTGGTCACATTTCTTAGTTAAAGTAACAAGTCTAGCTGCAGTATTCTGTACTTTTTGTTCAGGCTTTGGAGTTCATTCCATCATCATCTAACTTAAAGTATATAATTTTTACTGATTCTTTGTCCTCGCTACAAGCAATAAACAATAAACAGTTTGATCACCCATTAATAGCAGACATTTATAATCTGCTATTATCTAACGAGTTAATCAGCAAGGACATTGTCCTTTGCTGGCTCCCCAGTCATATGGATATCAGAGGGAATGATCAAGCAGACTCGGCTGCCAATTCTGCTTTAGATCTTCCCATATCTGAATTTTTAACGCCATATAAAGATTTTAAGACGTGTATTAATCATTTTATTTATGGCCGCTGGCAACGGTCTTGGGATCTTGCAGGCACAAACAAACTTCATCACATTAAGCCTCTCTTAGGAGACTGGCCAAGCTCCTACAGGTCTAACAGGGGAGATGAAGTTGTTTTGTGTCGCTCTTGCATTGGTCATCCTTTTATAACGCATATTTTCATTTTAAAGCGAGAGCCTCAATCAGAATGTGAGCACTGTCATGTTCCTTTGAGAGTGAAGCACATTTTGATTGAGTGCAAGCATCTCAAGGATATTAGATCGCATTTTTACCGTTGTCAATCATTACATCACATGTTTGCCCAACCGGGTTTATATGGGAAAGTGTTAGACTTTTTTTTATAAAAGACAGGTTTTTATCATCAATTTTAATTTGTATTCATATATCATTTCATTTTTGTATTTTAAATAGTTATATGCATAAACGATAGATTTTATTTTTAATGTTACTTACTGTGATATTGTTTTTATTTATGCATGTAATTTGTTCTGTGATATATGTAATGTAATTTGTTCGAAATAACCACCATATGTTTGGCGCAATATAGCTCGGTTGGAGCTGACGTGCCATAAAATCACATTTCATTTCATTTCTGCACTTTTTGTAATTTATCTATCAGCTTAAAAGGCAAACCAACTAAAACTGAATTAAAGTTATCTAATCCAGAAGTGACCAGAGAGTTAACAAGTGACTTAGTGGCCTCTACAGTTACAAATTTACGTATTTTACCTATATTTCTGATATTAAAATAGCACAATTTACAAATATTACTTACTTGAGCTCCCATAAACATAAAACTATCAAAGATTGCCCCAATATTACGAGCAGAATAAAATGAAAATATATCACAATTACCAATTACAACAGGGGTGTTATCATTTGCAAATATACATAAATGATGCCTTGAGCCTAATAACAAATATTTGGTTTTATCATCATTCAGTTTTAGAAAGTTCTTTGACATCCATCTTCTAATCTCACTAATACAGTTCTCAAGTTGCAATTTTGATAAATTGAAAGATGATGGACAATTAGGTGTAAATGAAATATATAATTGAGTATCATCGGCATACAAATGAAAGCTGAGACCATATTTCCTGACAATATCACTTAATGGTGACGTATAGAGGGTAAATAAAATCGGACCAAGAACAGAACCTTCAGGAACCCCAGATGACAAAACAGATTCAGATGTCGATTTACAATTAACTAAAATACACTGTTTTCTACCCACAAGATAGCTTTCTAAAAGATATGATGCAGAGCCACAAATACCGAATTTAACTTGAAGTCTACGTAAAAGAATGGAAGGGTCCATCGTGTCAAAAGCAGCAGATAAATCTAATAAAATTAAAAATGTACATTTTCTATTATCAATTTCCATTAAAATATCATTTGAAACCCGGGTTAAAGCTGTTTCGGTACTGTGAAATTGTTTATAAGCATTTTGAAATGGTTCATACAAACAGTTATCATGTTTTAATTTAACATCTTCTCAGTGCGCAACTCAGATAGATGGCTCAAAGTACTCAAACTTTTGACACGTTTTCATACGGCGGAATACATTATTACATAGTGTATTATGATATCTGCAAAATACAAAGGATAAGATTCATGGCTATCTAGAAAATCTAGCGCAGTAATTGTTACATGTGTAGGTCTGTAGTCACGAAAATGCTCAATTTTTAGCTATCTTAATTTCAACAAGTCACACCAGCATGGAAATTAGTGTGCCGCGCCTGAAACAATATATCGCACGTTTTTTTGTTTTGTTTTTGCTCCTCTGAATCCTCTGAAACGACATATCACACGTCACACTGATCAGCAGTGAATTTTCGCTAGGCCGCTACAGTCACTGATAAGGATGACATCGATGTGACTTAATGAGCCAGAAATATTAACTTTTTCCCTCCGACAAATTAACTTCTAAAACATTTTTTATGTATTAGAAAAATAAATAAAGGTGATTGACGTATTTGTAGGTAAGAAATATTTCCTATTTAGTGCAAATGGGTCTTAAAATGAGTAAAAGTTCCCATTCTGCCCGAACTAGAACGTTTTATGTAAACAATGCACGCGCCATTGAGCCAATGATTGACGCCGCGTGATAAGACGTCACGTGTTAACGGTAGTCATCTTTTACAGAGATATTAGAAGACTTTCGTAATCCTCTGTGAAAAAGATTGATCACACGTGTATATTGTTATTGGTATTGAGGAATATAATTCACACCAATTGCTGTCGACATTTTATATTTTGCCCTCTATATTGAATTGGAAACTATCACCAGTGTGTCCAGCGACATTACGGGCAATGTCATCAACAATGTTTGCCAAACTTTATTTCAAACCATTTTTGACCTGCGAAATCCCTCTCTAGCCATTGTTGATTTAGCCAGGCGGCCGAAGCTTGTGCATCAATTTGCTCAATCCATTGTTTCGCTACTCGTTGTCCCTATATGTGAGCTTGGGATATCCCCGTGTTTCACTATAGTTTGTTTTTCTGCAATATTCTGCTTTTCTCTGATGGATAAGGGATGGAACTTATCATTAGTCGTCGGTTGAAATTAAGAAGCATACGACGCCTAGACTCTAATCATAGTCCTAGCTGCCAATCGTGAATATGTAAACCGACAGTGGGATTTCACGGATTCGATAAACATTCACGAATTTCAGGGGCTGTGACGTAATGTAATCTCGATTGTCAACATTCACATTTACTTTAACATGCATAATTACGAGACGATTGATTTGGTCCGCTATAATGGATTGGTTGTTAAGGTGAAGGTTAACCAGCAGTGTTGGGTGATATTATACCTCATCAACATCAACATTTGTCCTTAAACCCGAAACTTACAATTAGAAATATTACCGGTAAAGTGTTTGAAGCCCTTAATTAAGTTAGGATACACAGTATTATACATGATTGTATTAATAGGTACATACCAGTGTGCTTGATAAACTAATTCTTGGTCTGTTGATTCGGTGAAATTGCAGAAGAACCGGAATTGTGCTTTAATTCCCACCGTAACTTGGTCGTAAGTGACACTAGGTACGGTTGTAAAATCCGGGATATCTTAAAAACAATGCATCTAGACATAATCGTATGGAACATCTACAAGTTCAATAATCCAACAAGAACATAATAAAACGGGCTAGACTAAATCTGTAGAATCCACAAGAAAGAGAGGAAGGACTGACGGATGATGGATACGGGCCTTAATCAAGTAAGGTCACTAATTTAGAATTGTTTACCATATATCATATACTTTTATCATTATTTACGATCATGCCAAATATTGCACCGAATCTCCTACATCGGTATGTGTAGAGAGGGTTAGTGGTTTATCGCGTGCGCAAGGACTGTTACTGAGTCAAGGGTAGCCTGCCGGACCTGGTGGGTTTCTCTGGGTACTCCGGTTTCAGCCCACGGCTAATCATTCCAACGAACAAGTGGATTATTGAAATAAAATTGAACCATGTGTTAGTCCCGGAATGACCTAGTGCGTTATGCCGGTATGTAGTTATCTGTATTTTGATAAAACAAGAAAACTTACCACCGCCTTCTAGTGAGCCTGAAATAAACATACGAGTTATCATTTATATATTTAAATAAACTTTGACTCTAAAATACAACCACCAGCATGACATAATAATCACAATTACTTTTAACTTTAGTGAGAAGCATTTAGGTCTTGAGAGAACGAGACCTTTCTATATCAAGGCTCTGTACATTATGTTTCGGGCTTACTACACCCCCCGCTCCCTTTCCAGTTTGCTGAATAGCTAGTGCATGCGAACGAGGGTACATTTTGTAGCGGATTCCTTTCAAAATTTGTATGAAGCATTGGTGTCATGTTAGGACAAATCCAAGCGTTCCCCGACCTTGTATCCGGGAACCCGCCCGCTCTGATGAAAACTTTATTTTTGTTTCCAGACCAGGCAAAAGCGGCGTGTGTGTGTGTGTGGTTGCAGGAGAGGGGAAGTACATTTTCGCGGACCCAAGTCTATTTCCAACAAGCCAACAGTGTGGCTGATGTCCCCTGCCGAAATCCCCCCCCCCCCCAAAAAAAAAAAATAGATGACACATTTTAATTAACGGCACATTTATATTTTTCAAAAGTATCAAGCAATCAAACTGATTACCAACTATACACCAAGTTTTATCACTTTCTATCTGATAGAATCAAAGTTATCTTGTCCCAAAGCATCGACCAATAAAATTGCTTAGCTCTGCTTAGCTTTAGCCCAAAATGTTAATCATTGAACTCAGTCAAGACATTCATCTAATGAACATCTACATCAGTGTAAACATTCTACCTCAATCAAAAGCAGAGTTGTTATGTTCCAAAGTCTTGACCAATTGCTTATCGATCCCTTAGCCTAAGCAGAAATTTCTCATCATCGAACTTAGTCAAGGTAATGATATAATGAATCTATGCTCGGAGTTTCATCACTCTCACTTAATTGAAAACCAAATTTACCGTGCCCCTAAATCATCAACCAATCAAATTGCTTATCTCTGCTTCTGCTTACCCTAAACAGAAAATTTTCATCTTCGAACTCCATCAAGGCGTTGACCTAATAAACACCTACACAATGTTTGAACGTTCTAGCTCAGTTAGAAGGAGAGTTATTGTGTCCCAAAGTCTCTGCCAATCAAATTGTGTATCGCTTTGCTTACCCTGAGCAGAATATGATCATTATCGAACTTAGCCAAGTTTCACCACTCTCACTTCGTTAGAACAAATGTTATCGTGTCCCGAAGCATCAACCAAATTGCTTGTCTCTGTATGCTCAAGGCATTGACCTAATAAACACCTACACCAAATTTGAACATTTTATCTCAATTAGGAGAGTTATTGTGTCCCAAAACGTGTGACGGACAGACATACGGGCGAACCCATTTTAATAGTCCCCTGCTTTCTTCGAAAGGTGAGGGACAGGGACAATGAAACTGTCAACTAACATGAGAATAGAATTAATGGTGTCACTTTCCCCAGTAAGTGTTATTCGGAGTACAAAAGTACCTTATTCATTTTCCAGTAGATATGTTCCAACATATATATTTTTCAGAACAAATCTATTTTGTAAAACGATCCAAAGATTCTAATATAAATTGCACATAAAAAATTCATATCCGGTTTTCAGTTAATTTCCATTTATCTATAGTTTTATGCAAAATCTACCATTTTCAGGGTCCTGTAAAATATTACTGGAATGCAGCTAGTCCTATTTCACAATGACCACATAATTTAATATTATGCGTATAAGGTAAGCAGGAATTGGCGATCCGAGCTTCTCATTGTCTAGATACTCAATCTGCACCACTTTTTATTTATATGCATATAAAATATTTAATAGAGACTGGGTTATTAAAATATAATTTTATAAACACATAAAATCCACACTTACCAACACAATATCCGGTTAAGTCTCTTCCTGTACGATCCAAGTAAAATACCAAGAAATTTGCAGAACATGCTTTCACTTTGACGTCCGGACCCGTAGCGTTACACTCTTCTGTTGGATAGCGAACACAGGTACCAATAGTCTGTATCTGGTCAGTACCACGCAATGGTCTTTCTGTTGAAATGAAATATTTTTATGAACTTAGCAAAACATATAACCACCTCGACAGTTTAAAATAATGATATTTTTCTTGTCTCGGCGGTGATACTAATGTTGCGTGATCAGGAGGGAAAACTCTAGGATTTGGTGGAAATGGGTCATATTTCATACTTGTCATTATTTTTTTGCTCGATTTTAGTCAGAAGATGCATCAAAAACAGCATGGTGCAAACATTCTGAAATCGTAGATTTTGTTAGCCTACGCGGACGTATTTATTAAACTTTGACAAACTACAATAGGTTTACTGATGGGACAAAAAAATTCCCATACATCGGTTGTTTCTTAAAGGATCTTTGAACAAATTTCATAGGGGCGCTCACGGGACGGTCTTTGATTTTCGGAGACATTGTTCGATAACATTTTCCACCGTTTGGCACCATAATTTGATTTTACAAACATGCTTCAAATCAATATTCAGACGCCATTTTGATTCCGATTTTGAACAAGTCAACTTCTCGTGCCTGTTTACCGGTGTCGCCATCCTCTACCTCACCACCACAGGAATCCGTATCCCACCTTCAGACTCTGATTCAGACGGCTATAACTAATGCAATTCCAGCCATCGCACATGCAGTTTTGGTGGCTATAAATGAAACTACTACTGAGCCCTCTAACCAACCTCCTGCTACCTAGTTCAGCCCTGTACGTTCAGGAACCGTCCTATTGAATCCCTGCCGAAAGAAAAATCGGCCCAGTCAATTTTACTGGGCAACATTTTACTGCTAAACGATGGTGTAACAGTCCCTGTGAAGGTCTGTGGGGTTGGATGGCCGAATGGTTAGCACATGCACTCTGTATCATATTGTCTGTCATTGAGTCAACTTGCGTGGTTTCGAATCCCCGGTTGTACGTGACAAGTTTGTGTAACATGGATAATGTTTATACAAATTAGGATAACGTAATCCTAGTGTTGGAATGTTAAAATAACATTGTAATTGTTTTGGCGAAATTATAAAACAAAAACGAAATTATAATATTGTAGATTACTGAGTCAAGAGGTCAGAGGTAGTTTGTAGATTTATAATTAAAGATACACATCGAAGTTTAACAATAATTAAATAAAGGTTTGCTTTTAGTTAACAGTAAGAGTAAATAATAAGATTTAAGAATAATAATGTTAGAATATTATTAAAATAAAGTTTTAAATTAAGAATAATTAATTCTTGACAGAAAACAGTTTTTATGGGGTACAATCACTAGTTTATTCTAAAAGCACGACGTTTCAACAAATATCCTCTTATCGTTATCAAGCACAAAGACAATTTAGTAAACTTGTGGACAATATATATGAAATCAATAAGAAACCATCTGCATGGGTTAAGAATAACAGTAATATAAATAATCTAGGTGTAAAGGATATTTAACAATAACAACAAACATAACAAGATGACTAGTCATCACCATCCGTGCCCTTGAACTTGTTTGGAAGGCATAGGAAATACAACTTCTTAGAATATTAACGGGACTAGTCAGAAGATTCATACTCTGATCATAGTAGCTCGGCAAGGCAAAGTCGCTACTCTCTGTAAGGATTGCACAACAACCTTTGCCTACCTCAATCAGCTGCTGTATGTTAAACATTAGGCTTATACATCAGAAAAAAAAATACTTTAATAGTTTGGTGTGTGTATAAAGTTTTAAAAAGATTTCTCTTAACAGATAATGAAATATGCTCTACAAATGAAATCGGGACAGAAGGTAGGTCATCAAAAAATAAAATAATAGGTTAATGAATGTAAAAGTGTTATAAAGGTATACTATTCAAAAAAAGTAGGGGATATTTGATTTTGGGGGCATAATACTAAAATATGCAAATGACTACGAAAAAAGTCACTATAGAACCTAACAGAAGAAACATTTCCAGTTACATGTGACGCCCAAACGCACCAATAGCTACCGCATGGGATGCAGGTGATGCTTGGGATCATCATGGGGGTCCAACCCAAGATTTGCACGACTCTGGCTTTGAATGTTACAGTCATTGTGGCATTGAATTCCAGGGTGGAAACATCAGTTTAATTGTTTTAGTGACCAGAAAACAAATTTTGATATGCGTCGGCTTACCCAAAATAAAAGGTTACGTGCCCTTGGCATGCTACAGATCGGCACAACACAGGCGGTTGTGGCGCGGACGATGAATGTTTCTCAGTCTGTCATAAGCAGGCTATGGTCCAGATACCGTGATACACAATCTGTACAGGACAGACCACGCTCAGGTCGACCAAGGGCGACAACTCAAGCCCAGGATCGATTTATCCGTACCTTGGCCTTGAGAACTCGTGTCATCACAGCAAATCAGATCAGCGCTCGTCTTCAAACAGACACTGGTGTGAGAGTGAGTGGCCAGACGATTCGGAATCGACTGCATAGGGGTCACCTTCGCGCCTGACGTCCTCGCGTGATCCCTTGTTTGAGAGATCATCACATTCAGGCAAGACGTCGTTGGTGTAGGGATCGTCAACACTGGGATAATCGACGCTGGAGCAATGTGATGTTTTCAGATGAGTCAAGGTTCACTGTTGATTTTTTGGACAGACGTAGGAGGGTGTGGCGTCGTCGAAACGAGCGCTTCCAAGACGTTAACGTCATCAGACATGATCGATTTGGAGGTGGTTCTGTTATGGTGTGGGGAGGCATCACTGTTGCTGGAAGAACGGCTTTACATGTTGTTGCAGGGCGTGTTACAGGCCAGTACTACCGGGACAACATCTTGGTAGTCCATGTTGTGCCGTTCGCACGACGTCATGGCCGCCGTTTCATCTTCCAGGATGACAACGCAAGATGTCACAGGGCCAGAATCGTTACAGGTTACCTCCAACAACAGAACATCACCACATTACCTTGGCCAGCACTGAGTCCCGACCTCTCCCCCATCGAGCATGTCTGGGAATGCTTGGACAGAGGTTACGTCAACGTCAACAACGTCCTGCCAATGTCCAAGAACTTGCTGCTGCGTTGCAACAGGAATGGGACAATCTGGACCAAAATGACCTTAGACGTCTCATTAGGAGTATGCCACGTCGGATCAATGCTTGTTTGGCAAACAGAGGAGGATTTACCCGTTACTGACTTGGTTGTGATGCTGTGGTAACTTTGCTGTTTGACCCCGGGTATCATTTTACCCTTATAATGGTCAGTCTGTGCCTTACTTAGTCTAACGATCATTTGGAATAAATCGATGAATGTGAACTTCATTTCATTTTGTCATTTGTTTCTTCGTCAGTTTCATTAGGTGACTTTAATAACACTTAAAAATCAAATATCCCATACTTTTTTTGAATAGTATATCTTGAACAGTTTCTGGGATATGCTCTAGAATAATAATTATATACCAAAAAAATAATTCAAATGTGTAGTAAAAATCATTCAACAGATAATTTTTTCCCATCGTAACGCAAAAATTATTAAATCCGACAAATTTCTAATTAGCAAAAGGCACAACTACTGTAATAGGATGATGTGTGTTCAAAGTTTCAACTAGTAAGAATATTTATATTCTGAGCACAGTAGTTCAGCATGTCGGGGTTGCACCATCAGTTGCGCCCAGCGTCTAAATCTTTAGACAAATCTCATATTCCGACACATGGAATATCAATTCACAGAATTTCATACTCTGGTCACAGTAGCTCGGCAAGGCAGGGTCGCTACTCCCTGTAAGGTTTGCACAACAACCTTTGCCTACCTCAATCAGCTGTTGTATGTTAAACAATAAACTTATACATCAGAAAATGAAATACTATAATAGGTTAATGTTTGTACAAAGTTTCGAAAAGATTTCTCGAACAGATAATAAAATATGCTCCAGAAACAAAATCAGGACGGAAGGCTGGATTTCAGAAAATAAAATAATGGGCACAGGTAGTGAGGCCATATTGCATGTTGCATGAATAATTATATGGATGTTGGATTAGAAAATGGAAAGTTTTCAAGGAGTCTCCTAACTATTAAGTAGCACAAATTTAAAACCGGGGAAGGTAATGTAGTAATGTGGATGGCAGGGATTTGTGCTAGGGAACATCTATGTAAAATAATATTATGGTTTTGATTAATTAGTCTCCATTGCCATTAGAAAATGGAAAGTTTTCAAGGAGTCTCCTAACTAATAAGTAGCACAAATCCTAAATCGGGGAAGCTAATGTAGTGATATGGATGACAGGGATTTGTGCTAAGGAACATCTATGAAAAAATAATATTATGGTTTTGATTAATTATTCTTCATTGCCAAACTTTTAGCTATGGTATAAGGTAATTCTGAAACGCTAATTAAATGTTTTATGAAATATTGTGAGAATAACAGGGCATGGGGGTTAAAGACTAGGGATGGAGAAATATGTAGGCCGAAATAATATCATTATCTTTACAAATTATTGATTCTAAGTTCATAACCAAAAATATAGAAAGTATGCCGGTTATTTAGATACGTTAAAGCAGATATAGATTAGTAAACATGTTGGTCATTTGCATTTTTCAAGGATAAGTTGTTATTGTTTGAAATACACGTGAGTGGAGAATTACGAATTAGCCTACGCCATTCGGCACCTATAAGAGAGAGCGTGGCTAGAATAAATTTTTAGACTCGCATTGGGTTCTTTAGACGACCATTTCACGTTGTAGTGGTTTCTTGAGTCTAGTCACAGGAGTGGGGTTGAGAGGAAGAGATGTTAATTTTAAATATTAGAATGTAGACTATTGTGAAACTGTTGTGTCATAAAAACGTATTGAAAAAAAAACTATCATTGTTCCTGTTACTTATTTGAGTCGTTATCGTGAGCAACACAATGGTGAAGTCCTTAAGAAGAAAGATACAACAGTAGCCAGTCCAGAGCCAACCAACCCCTAGACGATCTTGGGCTGTTCAAACTATGTAGTAAGTAACGGTGCATGGGTTATGCGGCGGATGTGACGACCGGTTTCCCGTCTGCTGCTCTCCACGTCTGACAAATGACCCATAGTG